GGTGTGTCCATGACTGCCAGCGGCCACTCCATCACCGTCATTGGGATCTCCAGGTTGATCGGGATGCAGCCCATCGTCCTCGACGTCGCTAGATGAGGTCGAAGAGGTCGTCGTGGGTTGTGGTAGGCGGCGGAGGATCAGTGCCTCTGGAGGCTGCCATTTCTTTTGCAGTTGAGCATCAGGCTTGGCCAACCTTAGGTTTCTGACTGCAGCTCGCGCACTTGATCGAAGGTCATTGGCGGTGACGTACAAACGAAAGCGCATATTGTGGTAGATGTTGAAGGCAACCGCCAAGGTTTCAACATGCTTGAGGCCAGGGAGCCGAAGCCCCAGGCGGTCAGGAAGGAGCGGATGCATCTCATATCCCAGTGCTTGGTACACAGCTGTCCACAACGGACGGCATCGCATGTAATGGTACTGTCGATCGGCATGCGCACGGCAACCAAAGATACACGAGCGGGAGCCTCCAGCATACTTTATGCGCGAAGAGGTAAGCCATCCAGAGCAGTAAGCTTTAATGACTGGCATGGCCCAGCTCATGGGAACCAACGAGAGAAGTCCACCAATCTCTGTCCACGCCACACGATCAAGAAACGGCTCCCATTCATGTACATATTTCAAAAGACGTCGCTGCACCAACGAAGCAAGCGGGAAGGGCGTCACTAGCATCTCCCGAAGAGCACGTGTGGCTGCACGTTGAGGCTTGGGCTTCCTGTCGGTGACCTGGAGCTCCTGGGCGATGGCTTGCACGCACGTGTAATTGATCTCGGGAGGGTAAGCCGCCTCTCTGCCTGACTGGAGAACCGATGCATATCCCAACAGGAACGACGGGGATTGCCAGTGCGTGCCAATATGGTCAAGTGCATCTTCAGTGCTCGAATCGCCGCCAGTGGCGCATCATCATATCGGCCCTCCATGAGTGAATATCTCCATTCAGACTCAAGTTGTCGGAAGCGATCAAGAATGGTAGTGTGGTTAGAGAACGTGACTAAGGCAGCTCGAGCATAGGCAGCAGCGCACGAATGAAGCAGCAGGGGGACACGAGGGCCACCCCATTCGCCAAGTTGGGCCCAGCCAGCCGTAGTGAGCATACCAAGGGGGGCTCTGAAAACCTGCGCGAGAATCCCCAGTTCCAGAGCAGCGTGTCGTTGAGGGAGCGGAGCAAATTGGGCCACATAGGAGACCACTGAGAACACCCTGGACGAGTACAGAACACCATTGATACTAGCGGGGGCAGCCCCAGACCCAAGCAGACGGGCCCGTAATTTGAGCTTCTGCAGCGGTGCGGGCCACTGCATGTCGACTGTGACGGCGGGGCCCAGCAGGAGGCCCAGGTAGAGGACGTGGGAGGCCACTTCGAAGGCGCGCCAGGCAGGGACGAGGCACTCCACGAGAGAGATAGTGTGGAGCTGGAGGGACTCGGTGAACTCCCCCTTGAGCGGGACGATTTTGCACTTCATGGGCTTAAGCTTCAGCCCTGTGAGACACTCCGTGACCACCATCACATCATACAGCACCTTGAGGTGCCTTGCTTCATACACCACCGCTCCTATATCATCAGCACATGCTCGAGCAATACCATATCCAGGAGTCTCCAGGGTATCCTCCAGCGCACAGAGAAAGGGGGCCGTGCCGAGGGCGTAGAGGCTCCCTGAGAGCCCACATCCTTGAATAATCCCAGACCGCAACCAGTATATAGGGATAAGCTGGCCAGCATGGGCCACAACTCCTTGGATCGCTAGGTACAGCCACGAGAGGAACCACATGAGGGGCCCAGGGAGCCCGAGCTTATTCATCAACATCAGCAGATACCCTTGGGAGAGACTGGGGAACGCCTGGCCATAATCAAACGAGATCAGGAGGGGGTCGCACAGGTCGGAGCGAGGGTGAGCAGCGGCAAGCCTTCCTATGCCGTCGAGTTCGATCACATTGTGTCCGAAGTTACGGCCGACCACAAACCCCCTTTGCGAGCAGGGAACCACCTCCTCCACCACTTTACGGAGCGAGCGGTTGACAACAGAGGTCATGATTTTCAGGTCGGTGTTTCGCAGCCCGAGCACTCGGATTTTGTCAGCTGACCGCGTACAGCCTCCAGAGGCCTCGTCCTCCTCCTCTGAACCTTTGGGCAAGAAGGCCTGCAACGTGACACTCGCGGCATCGAAGAGGGTCCCCCCGCCGAGCACCCAGTCGAGGGTGTTGCACAAGACGTCGATGCAGCAATCAGAGGCATTCCAGGCGGTATAGGGGATGCCGTCCACACCTGGGGCAGAATGCCGTGCACCTCGCACAGCTCGACGGATAGCAGCTTTAGTGGGAGGCGGGACTTCGCATTGGATGGGGGCTTTCAGGTGATCCTGGAGGTAGGCCTCTATGCGGGGGCCTGGGACAGAGCCTCGGGAGAATACAGGGCGCCAGTAGGTACTCAAAGCTTGAAACCGATCTTCAGGCGAGCGTGACAGGACGGGCCCGGACCGAACCGTCTGCAAGATGAGTCGGCGAGAGAAAGGGGCCCAGATGGCCGCTTTCCGTTCCAATAGCTGCTGACGACGGCAGGCGGAGAGGGGACGGTGAGAGGCAGAGAGACCAGCGGCATGATCGGCATTGGCTTGCAATTCTTTTTCCAGAAGCCGCATGTGGACTCCGTCTGACCACGAATGAAATGATTCAGCATGTCGAAGACGAACTTGTGAGCCTACAATTTGCAGTGAGTCTGATGCCCACTGCGATGTCGAAATAAGTCGCCGAGCCAGTGGGACGTCCTGTCGCCAGACGGCTCGGGCGCAGCTGCGGGCCACGATGATCGCCGTCCCATCACTCTCCGCCTTCAGCGTGAAGAGCATGTCGCGCACCTCCCGCGCAGCCTCTTTGAGCATTTCTTTGAAATGCTCCTGATAAATAGAGCCAGCATGTGCAGCAATAGCGTTCTGGCCATCAGCAACCATCCCCTCGATACGCTTCTTGAAGAGCGGGTCGTGGAAGATGTGCCGCGGAATAGCTTGTTCTCCCCGAGGCTTGTGATGTCGCTGGCGCAACGTTGTCACCAGCGCGGCATGATCAGATATTTGAGCACGGGACAACGCCTCTGGCTCACCGACCGTGGTGGATTCAGCATGTACCTGGCATAGCATCCATCCTGGCAGCGAACAAAAGAACCTGTCGATGCAACTGACAGAGTTGGTGTGCTTCGTATAGTGAGTAGCCGCCGACGATGAGACTTCAAGGAGCGCCCCCAGAGAGCGCAGCCAACGGGCAGCTTGGGCACGATGATTCCGAGGATCAGAAGCACGCGAAGGCAGCGGGCGATGGAGCACGAGGGCTTCGTCGGGGCCAAAATTTAGGTCGCCTTGCACAATGACCAGGTGGTGGGTAGGGTCAGACGCCGCCGCGACCCGATACCTGTCGATCTGCTCACAGACCATGTCAACCTGGGTGCTTGTGAGGCCGTGGTTGTGTATATTGAAATGCGTCAACTGAAAGCCA